AATTCGATCTCGGTTCACTGCAACCTCTGTCTCCCAGGTTCAAGCAATTTGATCTCGGTTCACTGCAACCTCTGCCTCCCAGGTTCAAGCAATTCTCCTGCCTTAGCCTTTCAAGTAACTGGGATTACAGGCGCCCACCACCACGCCAGGCTAATTTTTGTCTTTTTAGTAGAGACAGGGTTTCACCGTGTTGGCCAGGCTGGTCTTGAACTCCTGACCTCAAATGATCCACCCACCTCAGCCTCCTAAAGTGCTGGGATTACAGGAGTGAGCCATTGCACCTGGCTCTTTTAAATAAATATTAAACAACTGAACTTGGAACCTTCAAAACACATTGGTTATGTGAGATCCACTCATCTGTTTATCTGTTGCACAATCTGCCTGGGTGTGGCAGAACATAAGCTCCTTGGAGGCTGGGACCTTATTGGTCTAGTCTATTGTTGTGTCCTCAACACCTCTGTGCGTGTCTGGCACATAATAGGCACAATAAATATTTGTTGGATAAATGAATGACTCCAGACAACAAATCTATGGCGTACATAGCACTACTAACTGCATTTTACAGATAAGGGAACCAAGGCCCAGGTGTGAAACAACTAGCACAGAGTCAAAGGGTGATGCAGCAAAAATGTAAACCCTGAGCCTCCCCTGATGAGTCCGAATGGCTCCTCCTAGCTCCAGACCTGAAGTGTGAACACCCTTATCTTTATCGTAAAAAGAGAGGGACTGTGTACCAACCCTCTGTTCAGTGGGCTGGACTGGGAAGGCAGCCCTTTTGCTTGTTTTCATTCTGTTTCTCCACCGAGAGTGCAGAGGTTTGGACCCCTGTTGAGGCCAGACTGACAGGATTGGAGGAAACAGCTGGGCTGAGTCCGTGCCCTGCAGGAGGGAGCTCACATTCCCGGACTCTGGGAGACAGCAGCTCCCCACAGCTCAGTCACATTCCAGGTCGGTCATTTTCCTGAGCCCAGATGTTTGCTAATGAGCTGGGGAGAGGGGCTTTCAGCCCTGAGCCCCAGTTCTGGGCCCCACATTACCTCGGCCCCAAGAGGCTGGCCCAGGGCCAGGAGGCTCTGGCCTCAGGCCCATGCCCTGTGCCAGCCAGGCCTGTAGGGGCAGCTGGAACACCACTGCCAACCAGGTGCATCTGCTCAAGCTGGGAGACTCTGACGTGACAGGTTCTGCCTTGCCCGCTGGGGCCCCTGGGTCCGGTCACCAGTGCAGCATCCCTGCAGCAGCCTGATGGGGAGGAGCACTGAGGCAGCCGAGAGGGTGGAGAGGGTGTGGTGGGCACGGAAGCATGGACTTTGGTGTTGACAGATCTGGGCTCAAGTCCAGGCTTTGTCAATTACTAGCAATGTGGTCTTGAGCAGGTAATGACACTTTTTGGTGTCTCGATTTTTCTCACCTGTAAAACGGGAACAATGATGGGACTGTGGTAAGGATTAGAGATGAAGCAGACAGAGTGGCCAGCATAATGCCTGGCACAAAATGGGTAGACATTACTACCAACTTACTTCTCAGGCCCCCTGCCCACACTGTAGCTTTCCAATAGTTATCAGTCATCACCAGACAGATGGTGACTCAACTCCAAACCCTTTGTCCCTGATTAGGAGGTTGGTGGTGTTCTTGAACCTCCCCGTGTTTGAGAGATGGTGGGCTGCCCTGTCAAAGGCACTGGCTGGAAATTGTGGCTTCTACTCCTGGCTCTATGTGTGATCTGACCAGCTCATCAGGCTCCACAATTAGCTTTCTGCAATGTGGGAGTGGATTCTCACAAAATGTAGAACTCCACTTTCCACCCTGCTCAGGGTCTGCATGAAAGATGGTGGTGGTAAGCTTTGGTTGCAAAATGGTAAATATTTCCTGAGTGTCTAGTGTGTACAGTGCAGTGAGGCTGGTTTCTGTAGTACATGGTACATGAACAGACATTAGCGGGCATGGGCTCTTACCGTGTGACTTTAGGCAAGTTACTTAACCTTTCTCTAGACGTTCCTTTTTTCACTTTTTTTTTTTTTTTGAGACAAGGCCTCGCTGGAGTCACAAGCTCATTAGGTTCCACAATTAGCCTTCTGTAATGTCGTCCAGGCTGGAGTACGGTGGCATAATCACAGCTCACTTACAGCCTCAAACTCCTGGGATCAAGTGATCTTCCTGCGTCAGGATTTTTTCCACTTTTGTTATTTAATTTATTTATTTATTTATTTGTTATTTATTTATTTATTTTTTGAGACAGAGTCTCACTCTGTCTCCAGGCTGGAGTGCAGTGGTGCAATCTCGGCTCACTGCAACCTCCACCTCTCAGATTCAAGTGATTCTCCTGCCTCAGCCTCCCGAGTAGCTGGGACTACAGGCGCATGCCACCACACCTGGCTGATTTTTGTATTTTTAGTAGGACAGGGTTTCACCATATTGGCCAGGCTGGTCTCGAACTCCTGACCTCAAGTGATCCGCCTGCCTTGGCCTCCCAAAGTGCTGGGATTACAGGCATGAGCCACGGTGCCCAGTACTTTTAAAATAGAGACAATACTTACCTCATAGGTTTATTGTGAGAGTGGCAACAGCTTGCAGTGGGATGAGGCACATGGTAAGGTGCTCAATATGTGTGAACTATTATAACGGTCATAGTTACCATTAAGGGGAGACCTATCTGTGCTACATCAAACGGGGATAATAATTACTTTATTCGCTGGGCGTGGTGACTCACGCCTGTAATCCCAACACGTTGGGAGGCCGAGGCGGGTGGATCACTTGAGGCCAGGAGTTCGAGACCAGCCTGGGCAACATGGCAAAACCCCATCTCTACTAAAAATACAAAAACTGGCCGGGCGTGGTGGTGGGCACCTGGAATCCCAGCTACTCGGGAGGCTGAGAATTGCTGGAACCCAGGAGGCAGAGGTTGCAGTGAGCGGAGATCTCGCCATTGCATTTCAGCCAGGGTAACAACAACAAAACTCCGTCTCAAAATAATAATAATAATAATAATAATAATTCAATCATCTCACCTGGCCTGCCCATAAGCAATGAAGACACTGAAATAAACACATGATTCCTGCCCTCAAGGTCTAATGGAGGAAAGAGATGTACACAGCTATTCTAGAGGGAAACTGACATGAACAGAAGTTCTCATCCAGTGCTCCAGGATCACACTGGAGGAGGGAGATGCTCCCAGAGGGTCTTGGGAAGGCTTTCCAATCTGGTGCCGTTAGAATATTTGCCAGAGATGAAAGGAGGGGAAGGGAAATCCGGGTAGAGGGAAGGGCGCAGGAAACAGCTAGGAGGCACAGATGCAGGCTGGGTGTGGAGGGTGCGGGTAGGCTGGAGTACACCAGGGAGTTTCCAGCAGGCCACTAGGAGCCACCCAGGATGCTCGGCAACCTCATGAGTCAGACAAGCAGGGCTGCGTCTATCTGGAAGTTTCCAGCCAAGTTAGGTAAAACACATGGACACAGGTAACTATGCTGTAAAGCAAAATCCCCAAGTCCTACAATCGTGTCCCAGTGGTGTCCCTGGGCCACCACTTTCCAGGAGCAAAGTTATTTTCTTACCCCGTTGTTAAGCACACAGAGAAGGCACGGCCGCAATCCACCCAAGTGCCCATTGATCAGATAGGAACCCCCGAGGTGAGGCTGGAAGCTGGGGCCAGGCGCTCCACTCTTGTCAGGAGTCAGAGAAGTGAGTTCATTTGCTGGCTTTCTAGTTCCTAATAGTCCCTGGGGCTTTTCGGGATGCTTAGCCAAGTGTGTGGGGCCGAGAGCAACGCTAGGATAACACTGGGCAAGGTTGAGTGACCCAGGTTACCAACAGCACGGACTTGAACCGGGTCGCATACCGGAGCGGGCGAGATGGGGTGCACCGCAGAACCGCAGAGTGAGGAGGGACTCCTGGTGCCGGGACGCGGCAGGCTGGGGCGCCCCATTCTTGGGGCAAGTCTGCAATGCCCGGTGCCCACAAAAGGGACACATCCATCTTTGTCACCCCGAGGCCTGGCACGGCCTGACGGCCCAGGCTCGCGAAAAGTCGGGCGGAGAGGGTGGAAGCGCAGAGAAACCCGGGGAGGGCGCTTTAGAACGGGCCAGGGCGCCCGGCTGCG